TGCAGCAGTGAAGGCGTCCTCCGTTGCGTCGTAGTGTCCGTCCTTGAAGTAGTCGAGCGAGGCCTTGGTGGTTGAGGGTACAGCTCGGGATAGTAAATCGTGTCCTTCCTGGTACTGCGCCCAAATGTCCTTGAGGGAATTGATTCTTGAACGCAGTTTAGCGGGAGTCAGGTTGCCCTTGCCGATCTTCTTTGCGTTCTCGATTGTGCGCTCGATCGAGCGTTCCAAGCGCACTTGTTTCGTGAGCTGCTGTTCCATGGTTATAATGAGCCGTCGTACACGGGAGCGGTGCACTTGGACACGGTGCATTTGGACACAGCCAATCACAGCACCGTATGATTAGAGACATTTGTAGGGTCCCTTGGAACAGCGACTTGTGATTGGACTGTGTCCAATTGCCCCGTGTCCAACTGATATACACCCGTCGTGCACTCGGTCTCACTCACACGATCACTCGCTATCCGGCTCGAAGGACCAACAATGTTCGCAACGCGGCCGTAGGTTTGTGGCGCCTCCGCCTCCGCCTCCGGCCTCGCGGGTTCCGCATCCTCGTGCGTGCGATGGACGGCTGTCGCCATCACGCGTCAACCGCCGCAAGCAGAGACTCCAGCCGCGCGAGTTGTTCGCAACCTTGCCGTGGCGCGACGAAAAGTATTAAAAGGATCGATCCGAGTATCGATAGTGAGAAAAGAGAGCGAGAGTGAAGAAGAGAGCCTTTTGTCTTTGTGTGACCGCCGGTACGCGTGTCGCTCTCGCGGTGCTCTGCTGTGTGTCAGAGAGAGCCTTTTGTACGCGCCGTTCGTTCTCTAGTTTTGTACGCGCCGTTCGTTCTCTAGTTTTGTCCGCGCCGTTCGTTCTCTAGTCTTAGCTCGCGTAGTGCGTCTCCGCGCTGTTCGTTCTTTAGTCTTAGCTCGCGCCGTTCGTTCTCTAGTCTTAGCTCGCGTCGTGCGTCTCCGTGCAGGCGCCCCGGACCAGCGGGTTCCCCGGGTGACGCGCGTTTTCTTGCCGGATCGTGTCCGTCGAGCGCCGTTTCCCCCTGGACGCGCGTTGTCCAGGTCGCGGTCGAGCCGTCGTGTTGCACGTGCGTGCCACGTGCGCGGTACGTGAGCCGCCATTTCGTGCACGTTCCGTGCGGGCGCTTGGGGCACGTGCATGCCACGTGTGCGGTACGTAAGCCGCCATTTTGTGTACTTCTCCGCGCGGGCTCTTGCCGATCGTCGTTGTAGAGCGAAACCCCGATGTGCGTAGTCGGGGCGAATGGTAGTGTTCGTGAGTGGTGCGCATCCTTTCCGTCCGTCCGTCGTGCTGCGTCCAGTACGTCGCGAGAGCATTCCTGCATGAATTTCATGCGGCCTGCGCTAGATAGTTTAAGTAGCGCGTGTATGAGAGTGCGGTTGGCCGCTTGAGTTGTGCAACCTAGTCGGAGTGTCTCAAGGGCAAGCGCGTAACTGTATTCTGATTGTTATTGTATTGCTTTTGCAATAGTTTCTTTTGTGGGGAAGTGAGAGTTTGTTTAATAAAACTGTTGACATAACGCGTTTGATTCTCTGCCTGTGTATCTTGTCACGCGGAGTTCCTTCGTGGGCGACCTCATTGTATGCATGAGGATTCGCCGCGCTCAGGTGCTTTCCCTCTCCTGAATAATTATACCCACAGGTTTTTTGTGGCAAGCGAACTTCCCGGACAGCTCGAGCGATTTGATCGTATGAGCTCGGACGACGCACCGAATTTGTGTTGGTGCTAGATCAGTTGATGTTCGATGTGTTCGCTCGGAAAGGTTTTAATTAAGCAAGTCGCTTCAAAGACGAAACAAATTTAATCTTAATTAACAAATAACACACGATTTAAGATCTACCAAGCGAAGGTATGGTTGAAACGGAGTTGACCATTACTGATGGCAAACGTGCCGTGGCGAGAGTAAGAACGGGTCGAATACTGCGTACTGGCAATAAGACGGTTCGAAAACGAGAGAGTAATCTATTCTTGGTTGTCACCCTTTTAAATGATGATTCTCGGCGCTTGGCAACTGCGGATTGGCCACGGCGCTTAAGTTTGAGATGACGATATACAAAAAAAACTTGATTCTTCTTTCTAACGTTCGCAGCCGCTTTCGAAGTTCGGTGTTAGGCGATAGTTACCGTGGCAACGGCACGCACAGCGTGTTATTCGTAGTCGATTAGCACATGAGAAACAATTAGGGTCACGGCTTGATAACACGCGTGGTTCCGGGCGACTGTTATGATTCGAACTGTTAGCCGAGTCGACCTCTTCGGGATCGAACGATCGATCTCGAACAGAATGTCTTATATTAATTCTTTCTGATATTCATAAATTTATAAAAAAGTGAAACTTCGGGATTTCTTGATTCATTAAATTAAGCAAACTGTTGACTAAGTTTTTTATTTTTTTAAATGTTACTGAGGTTTTTTTCAATATATATAACTATATGAAGTTTCTTATTATTTTAATATATTTTTTAATATGTTACTATATAAGATATTTAATTTTTTTATATATATATAACTATATGAAGTTTTTCATTTTTTAAATATATTTTTTTAATATCTATAACTATATATGAGGTTTCTTATTGTTTTAATATATGTTACATATATGTATGTATATGTCCCTTATAGAAATATCATACTAAGAATCATTGATAATTACTTATTTTCAGTATTAAAAATACTGGATAATAAGTAATTATCAATGATTCTTATTATGATATTTCTATAAGGGGTATGTATATGTTACAAATATAATTTCATAAATGTAAGCTACATTTTATTTTTTTACAAATATTAAGTAATGTAATAGATGTGTAAAATGGAAATAAATTATAACGATAAAGAAAAAATAATTATAGATAAATTTGTTTATTTTATTGCAACATATGTACATTAATTATTGTACATAATAACTATTATACATAATACTTTCCAACACTCATCAATCTTAACACTATAATAGAAATGATTTAAAATTTTATTTTGTATAAAGATACACGCACACATATCTTAATTAATATTAATATAAAGAAATATAAATATGAATAAGAATTATAAATATTAATATAAAAAATTATATTCTATTGTCTTATATTGTTTATGTATAAATATCACACTTATATTATTATTATTCTGGTACATTTATAAAATGACCACGAAGTGCTATTTCATATTGCCAAGGTACTTGCTCTTCGCCAATGTTGGAAACAAAGTATTGCATCAAATAATTGCTCATGTCATAAGCAATATGAGCACTTTTGTTTGCTCCTACTCTACATATGCGTTGAAAATTCGTCGCATTGGCCTCTGTTCTCCATGTTCCTGGTTGAATATCGCCATTATTGCGCTCAATATCAGCAAACCCTAGAGGGGCAATATTCAGCATGTCCACAAGTCATCATGAAATTATGTAGACATACCAGAGCTTTAATAATTTGCTCAGCATATTTTGGAGAACAGTTTATACGTGAACTCAAAATCTGCCATTTTGCTGCCAGAATGCCAAACGTGTTCTCTATTGTCCTCCTGGCTCTTGATAATCGATAGTTGAAGATACGTTCAGCATCTGTCATTTTCACATTTCTCCTAGGAAATGGCCTTATTATGTTGATAGTGGGAATGCTTCATCCGCAACAAAAACGTAAGGAAACAGATCAGATGCACCAGGGAGTGGAATATGTGGTGGCAAATTAGCTGTTCCTTCTTCCAGAGCTTATTTGAAATCTGTATTATTCCATACACCACCATCACTTATTGAGCCTGTGAACAAAAATATTACAAGACTGTACACTCACATGCAATACAACTACTTTGATTATTAGATATACTGTTATGGGTACATACTGTATTGTCCAATATCCATCCATGTAAACTTATAGTATGCATTACAAGCACCTAGAAGTACTATATTAAAAAATCCTTTATAATTGTAAAATCCAGATCCTGACATAGGAGAGGCTTTGATATGAATATGTTTGCCGTCAATGGCACTAAGGCAATTAGGAAACTGCCATTTATCTATATATCTATCTTCCACTGTTTTCCATGAATGTTCATTCATGTGTGGCAGAAAAATTGGTTGCAATACATCCCAAATTGCTCTGCAGGTTTCTGGAATAATGGCATGTGCTGTCGATTTTCCTATGCGGAATTCTATATGTTTACTAATAACAAAATCTCCTTGCGCCAAGTATCTGTAAAAAAAACTTAATGCTGTTAATCAATATTATGTTTTAGCATAAAATAATTTCAGATTCTGTATATTCACAAAAGTATCACCTGCAAACACAGCTTCAGGTCCAATGCAGCTCTCCTACTTCGTTTTTGTAATTTATCCTGTACTTGGTTAAGGAGCCAATCGAAATGTTCTGGCCACATACGAAAATTTTGGAAAAATTCTTCATGATCTTGTGTCTCCATTTCTCTAAGAATATTTGTTTCGTAACTTTGTTCATTCCTCGGTCGATTAATAGGACGGACCCACCACCTTCTTCTTCCATAATATCCTCTTCGTCTTCGTCGTTGCCACAATAGTAATTGATTGCAACACAAAATAACAAATATACTTGTCCACATTAATTTATATAACTCCATTTTCAGTACCATGTGAAACACCGACGGTGATTTCTATAAGCCTGTTCTTTGTAGCTGCACTGCTGAACTGGGTCCCTATTCTTGAAATTTTTGCGTATACGTAATTTTCATTACGCAGCTATTTTATGGTGTGATTAAACCTGCGCAGTAAAACTTACATATACGTAACTATTTATAAGAATAAGAGTCCTGGTGCAATATATTGAAGTGAGACAAATATACGTTTTCTCACTCTAACTTATTGCATTAGTTCAACAGTGCAGCTACAAAGAACAGGCCTCAGGTTTACTCTATTGAGTAATGGCGTTGGGGCATGAGTCACTGATACGCCTCTAGCCAAATATTGAAGGAAGGAAGGTTTACTCTATTGTGTTGTAGACGGAACCGGCGTAAGCATCTTATGCCAAGAAAGTTACTCCTACTCTTACTTCTACGCCTACTCCACGTATTGTAGACGAGCCTTAAGGTTATAGCTAGAGACGGGAAAGCCTTTACGCTTAATAGAAATGACGTCATAAATTAGGCCCGATCTACAAAAGATAGAGTAAGGAGTAGGAGTAAAACGAAATGGAAATAATTTATTTCGCTTACTCCCTTACTCCCAATCTACTAAAAATTTGCCCATCTACATCACATGCAGTAAGCATGAATTAAGTAGTAAGAGCTGGAGTAAGGGAGTAAACGAAATAAATTATTTCCATTTCGTCTTACTTCTACTCCTTACTCCATCTATTGTAGATTAAAGCTTTAAGTCTTATGTTCTCATTGTAGACGACGCTTTAAGGGCCACAGTCCTTAATAGTTGCGCAAGGCATATTGTAAAGGGGCCGCACCGGCACTCCTGGTTCACGTCCGACCGGACGGTTAAGTCGCGCTAAGCGGGAGCGGTGCATTTGGACACAGCCAATCACAGCACCGTGTGATTAGAGACATTTGTAGGGTCCCTTAGAACAGCGACTTGTGATTGGACTGTGTCCAATTGCCCCGTGTCCAACTGATATACACCCGCGCTAAGCGACGAGAGAAGCGAACGAGTCACCTTATACGTGTATCCCAGGCGCGACCGAGACAAAGTCCCTCGTGGACTTATGGCTCCTACACACAGGACGCGGTAATGCTTGCCGCGTGGCGGAAGTTCGCGCGACAGCCAATCAATATGCTGCTTTCCGTAATAACCTTCTAGCTCTTACGGAAAAACAACATATTGATTGGTTGTCGCGGGGACTTCCGCCGCGCGGCAAGCATTACCGCGTGGGAGCGGTGCACTTGGACACGGTGCATTTGGACACAGCCAATCACAGCACCGTGTGATTAGAGACATTTGTAGGGTCCCTTGGAACAGCGACTTGTGATTGGACTGTGTCCAATTGCCCCGTGTCCAATTGATATACACCCTTACCGCGTCCTGGCTCCGCAGGAGCCATTAGAAGTGAGCGTGGTTCGTATTTTAAATATCGCAAGCGCGACGGAGACTAAAAATTCCGCAGGAGGACGCACGATATATTCGGAGCTCGAGATATCGCAAACTAAAGCGTCCTCCAAGTGGTGGTGGAGGACACAACGTAAATGCGGACACATATCCTCCTCTCAGCCAACCGGCAACAGGGAGAAGGTAAACTATAGTGTGGGATAATCAAAATACCTCTTTAAGCGGCAAGCCAGCGTGTCGTAAGCAGACACTCTAAAGGCAATGACTCAACGTACAACACGCGCTCAAAAGGCCTCGAGCTGTCGCTCGCGCCAACTTATATAGCCGCTTAGCTAAGATTTAAGGGAGCGGTGCACTTGGACACGGTGCATTTGGACACAACCAATCACAGCACCGTGTGATTAGAGACATTTGTAAGGTCGCTTGGAACAGCGACTTGTGATTGGACTGTGTCTAATTGCCCCGTGTCCAACTAATATACACCCAAGATTTAACTGCGAGCGACGGCCCGATGAAGCCGTCGCCGCGTCGCGGCGACGGTGCGAAGCAGCGCCAGCAGGCGGACGTCTGCGAGTATCGCGGCGCCCGGGGCAGCTGTCCGCCGTACTTTGTCCGTACGAAACAGTAGTATTATTTATAACTATTATATATATATATATATATATATATATATATATATATATATAT